CGAAACATTCAACGTTTCACAGCCGCTTTCGTCGACAAGTTCGTTTGTGTTCCTTGTGCCAGTGTACCTGTTGACATTCTAGACTACAGTACGAAACATTCAACGTTTCACAGCCGCTTTCGTCGACAAGTTCGTTTGTGTTCCTTGTGCCAGTGTACCTGTTGACATTCTAGACTACAGTACGAAACATTCCAGCAACAGTGGTAGATTGCTTCCGCTTCACAATTGTAACACTAAAAGAAGAAAAAAAACACCAACAGTTATTAACGGATACTTTATTAATAAGCACGTATGTGTGTAAGACTTTGTCACCCAGAGTTGGCTGACTCAATTACCGTAACATTATTTATATGAACTGTAGTTGTCACACGATGTGCTAATTGGCATATTCAGAATCGTTTTAATATAATGTAATCAACCCTCTGCATTTATTGGACTCATTATTTTAATCAAACTATTAAAGCAACTTTACAGATAACAGTCAGTTAATCAAATCCTACATATCTACTAATAGTGATTTCAAGTGAAAATGAGCCATTTTGCACAATTTAACTGAACTGCAATCATTACAAATACTGTTTAAATTCAGCTTATTTGTTGATCATTTTGTACACTTTTAGGTAAAATAAGATATACATCTTTTGTTTCCTTCTATAAAAAGAAACACTTCACAACTATGCTAACGGTAACCACATACCCACTGTTTTTTCTTTATCTCGGAGATTTCTTGCTCCTGGCGTTCAACAAGCTGATGTACTTCTTCCTCGTGCCTGTAACAGAGTTGTTCCTCTGCTTTCTGCCGAGCCTTTTCCACCTCCTTTTGAAGCTTTTCAAATGCTACTTTTATAGAGGTTTGTTTCTCCTCTTCAAATTCTGCCCGTAGCTAAAAAAAATAAAACAATATTAATATCCACCCCAAACTTGGGTTTGCTAATTATCAGTGATTTTTCATGAAAAGTTGTTCTAGTGAACTGTATAGTAATTACCTTCGTAGACGGGTTTTTTATGACAAAAGAAACAGCTGTAATAATGTAATCACCTTTTTTACAATGAACACCTATATGACATAATGTACTCACTTTCTGAGGTAAACGAAGGATAAATAAGTGACGTATTGTACTCACTTTCTCTGCCAACTCCCTTACTGCTTGATCTTTCTCTTCCTTGTGTTCGTTTTCCAGCCGTTCTTTGAATTCCTTAAAAAGCTTGCTATACTTCACGCTACAGTTACAGTTGTCACCAGATAACTTGCTGTCTTGTCTCTCAGTGCCACTTTTAGAGAGCAGTCCAGTCAGAAGCTACAACAGAACAAGATATCCACATTTGATTCAGACAACAAAACAATTATCGAAGGTTAACTTAAAACAATGAACTATTTAATGGTAAAAAATGTAAATCAATGTTCCTGGAATGCTTTAATATTCACAAATTACATTGTTGCAAAGAATCCTTTAGCTCTACCACCAGGTGTCTCTACATACATTGATAAACTCAGCACACAGTTCCATAGCACGTCCTGAGGTAATCTTTTTTTCCCAAAATTTCTACCAACTGAGCTGTAGGGTTAATAACCTAGTAAGGCATTACTACCACCAGGTGTCTCTACATACATTGATAAACTCAGTGCACAGTTCCATAGCACGTCCTGAGGTAATCTTTTTTTCCCAAGATTTCCACCAACTGAGCTGTAGGGTTAATAACCTAGTAAGGCATTACTACCACCAGGTGTCTCTACATACATTGATAAACTCAGTGCACAGTTACATAGCACATCCTAAGGTAATTTTTTTTCCCAAGATTTCTACCAACTGAGCTGTAGGGTTAATAACCTAGTAAGGCATTACTTCACGATTCAAACATTTTTACAGCTAGTGAGTACGTAAGTATCTTTTTTATTTCTTTACATATATCATTTTATACAATTATGGGGAGTGAATACAAATTCAAAATCCTCATGGTCGGAACAATGTGGGAAATTTTGAAAAAACCACATGTACATCAGCCATTTAAATGTATTGTTTTAAACTTTTTATTGATATAATACAAATTAATCAATTGAAGATAAAGAAAGATAGAAATCAACTTTGACATGGGTATTATTATTAATAAGGATCATCCCTCAGTAGAGTTATTAAAATACATGGGTATTATTATTAATAAGGATCATCCATCA